CCCTTTCCCCCCCCCCCCTCCCCCTCCCTCCTCCTCGCCTGCCTTGTCCGTCGGTGCCTGACCCTTGGACGGAGCGCGATGGCCCGCGGCCGAGTGCCTCCCGGCACATGGGGCCCCTGGCGGTCTTTGCCCGTCTTGGCGATCCTCCTGCTCGTGGGGCTGCTGGCCTCCCGGCCGGCGGGCGCCTGGCTGCGGACGATCGGGGATCGCTTTGTGTCCGAGCCGCCGACCGTCGTGCCGGAGGTGCACCTCGTGCGATCTGCCCGGCCCTTGTCCCCGATCGAGCCCGGCCCCTTCCTGGGCACCTATGTGGCCGGCCGCAGTGCGCAGCTGATCCGGCCCCTGATCAACCGCCAGGCCAATGTCTTTTCCCAGTGGGATCCCCAATCCAGCCCCCTTTCCCTCGACCGAGTGGGCGTCCACTTTTCGCCCACCCCACAGAGCACCCTCGGCAGTAGCATGCCCTTCGGGCCGCGGGACTACCCGATGGAGCCCGTGCCGAGCCTCTCCGGCCAACCGGCCCTCATGGGCATCCAGCCCGACTCGCTGGTGCTCGTGCTCGGGTCCGGGGAATACACCCACCAAGTGGGCACATTCAGCGTTCTGGCCGCGTCGGCCATAGACGAAAACTTGGTGGAGCTGCTGATCCGGCGCGATGACATCGGTGACATCATGTTTGCTTGGCTCCAGGCCAACGATCTCCACCTCAGCCTGGTTCACCCGCCGGCCCAGATGGACCTGGCCGGCATCCGAGCGGCCGCCGGATTGGGGGGCAACTTTCACATGTGGCATGGCGAGTACTATGGCCGGGTGCTCTTGACGCCGGTCAGTGCTCCTGCCACCGGCCTGGCCGACAGCCCGGGCCGGCCCGAAGCCCAGACCCTCCAGCAGGCCATCGTCAGTGCGACTTCCACCTCGGCCTGGCCCGGTCTCGCGGGAAGCCGCTTTTTGGATGTCCGCCCCACGCGACTGGTGCCCGGCAATGTGGAAGACACGGTGGCCCTGTTGGATAGTGGGATGGTGGTCATTTGCCGGGGTGGCCACTTGGCTGATTGCGCGAGTCCCCTTGTCATCGGCCTGCCGGGGCAGCTGTCCGCCAGCGCGCGCCTCATGGTCCCCTCCCCGAAGGACCTGGCCGGCCAGGCCATCGCATGGCTACAGGTGTATGATCCGCCGCCTTCGGGCCAGGCCCCGGTCATTTGGCATGCGGTCTTGGTGCCCGGGCGGGGGGATTTCATTCGCTGGCTGAAGCTGGTCCTGCCGCCGGGGGCCGGGTCCGCTGAGCCCTCCCTGAGGCCGATTCGCCTGGCATCCTCGGACCCGACATCGTCGAATTGGGTATTGGCCTCGAAATGGATCTTCCTCGATCCGGTGGCCTTCCGCTGCGACACGGACCGAAGCATCATCTGCAGCACCCCGGGCAATGTGCTGTCCAATGCCGATGGGTGGAAGTGCGCCCCGGGTCGAGAGCTGTCCTTCCTGGCAGGGCAGGAGGAGCTCTGTGCCGGATGCGCCGCGGGCTGGATGCTGACACAGGCTCCCTCGGGTCAACGTACGCCCCTTTCACCGTGGGCCCGCCATTTGGCTCGTTCGGGGGTTCTTTTTTCCTGTCCTCCTGCCCGCCTGTCGGGCCGGGTGCCTGGGTTCCGGCTTTCCTGACCCCCCCCCCCCCCTGCTTGCATTGGCTTCCCTCTTGCCGGCGAGCCTGGCTTTCGAGCACGACCCTGGGCCGATCTCTGACCACCCTGCTCTGCTGCTGCTGCTGCTGCTGCTGCTGCTGCTGCTGCCCTCCCCCCTTGCTTTCGTGACCTCGGCGGCGTGGCGAACGCCGGTGCCGGCAGGTCAATGCGTCGCCTGCCAGGACCCCCACTGCAGGACGTGCGTTGCCGGTGGGTGCCTTGTTTGCCAGGAAGGGTACCTGCTGGAGCTGGACCCATCGAGCGAGGTTCCCACCTGTGTGACCGGCTGCCGGTTGGGCTTCCGGCGGAATGGCTCCCTCTGCCAGCCGGCCCAGGCATCCGGCGCCCCGGTGGGCGTTGAGCTGTCCTCGGCGCCGACCGCCGGCGGCGGCGGCGGCTCGGCCGTCGAGCGGCTGGGCTTCCTGGCTCCGACGCGCCTGGTGGCTCTCCACCGGCCGGGGCATGAGACGGTCCTGCAGCTTCCGGAGGTCATCCCTCCCGGCGGCCCGGCACACTATTTGGGCTTCCCCGCGGACCCCAATGTCCCTCCTCGGTGGATGAAGCACCAGCAGCCCGACCCGGCCACCCTGGACATCACTGACCTGCCGTCGACGAGCTTCCATGGGCTCGGCCCTTCCATTTTGCACTATGTCGAGCTGGAGCCAATGGTTGTCCCCTCGCAGGGGGGCTCCATCGGGGCGGTCTTTTGCACGGCCCAAAGCATCACCCTTGCGCGCTTCGTGTGCCTCCGGCCTGGGGTGCCCGAAGCGCCGGGGCTGTGCGACACCCGGCTGACATTGCAGACGGCTGTCAATCAGCCATGCGCCCAGCTCCGGGCACTGGACAGCCAGACGGTCCTGGCCTCGGTCGGCTCCTCTCTCTATATGCTGACCGTGGAGCCGGAGACGCTCTTGGTGGCCCTGGTCCCGTGGGTGTTGCTGGTGCCGGTGCGCTTCCCCGGGCCGGACGGCTGGCCGGACCTGTGGATGCGCCTGCACAGTGCCGGGCCGACCCATCAGGAGGGCTATGCGCTGGATTTGGTTGCCCTGGCCCGCGAGTCGGACATGCGGCTCGAGGGTCTGACCTCGGTGGTGGCCCGGCGTCCGGGCGAGGGGGTGGGCCACCGGCCGGCCCTCTTTGCGGCCACCCCCGGTCGACTGGCCCATGCCAGCGGGGCAGGCGAGGTGTTCCTGTCGGGCGTCCAAGTGCCGAGCGATGCGCCCACCGGGCCCGCCTATTGGGAAGCCATTCACCTGCCCCTCGGGGCGGTGCCCCATGGGCGGACGTCCACCATGGTCGGCAATTCCCTGCTGCTGGCCGAGCTGCCGGACGGTGCGCCCCTCAACTACCAGGTGCTCGCGGTGCCGCTGGGCGATCCGGAACACCCGGCGGCCCTGGTGCTGCTGACCAGCAATCTGCTGGGGGTGTCGGTCCTGCGGTGCTCGATCGGCAGCGGCTTTTGCCATCTGCAGCCTGGGCAGCTGTTTGATTTGCCACACACCCTGCCCTCGGTGGCCACCTCGTCCCTGGTGCCGGTGTCCGATCCGGGCCTCCAGTCCGACGCGCCGGGGCTCAAGCGGCGCCACCGGGCGAGCTTCCTGCTGGCCCTCGACCATGCCGACCCCTATCGGGTGGACTTGCAGGTGGAGTATTGCCCGGAGGGGACATTCGAGCCGGAATGCCTCGCATGCCATGGCCGGTGCATGGCCTGCACCGGGCCCGGTCCGGATGAGTGCTCTCGCTGCCGGCTGGCCCTGCACGAGGCGCCTGACGCCTGCTTGGATGCCTGCCCTGCTGGACTGCATGCCAACCACCGGACCGGCATGTGTGACTGTCCGCTCGAATGTGCCCTGTGTGGCCCGATCGGTGGCCCCCAGGCCGATGGTGCCCATGAGTGTACCCTTTGCCAGGCGGGCTTTGCCCTGGCGCAGCCCGGCGTCATGGGCCCATGTCTCCCTTGTCACCGGGACTGCGCCGAGTGCGCTGTCCCCTCGGCCAGGGCGGACTCCTGCACCCGGTGCCGGGCTGGCCGCATCCTCGTGGATGGGGCCTGCCTGGACGCCTGCCCCGAGGGGCGCTGGCTGGATGCCCAGGCGCAAGCGTGCCGGCCTTGCCTGGAGGGCTGCAAGCGGTGCACCTCGCCATGGGAGTGTGATGCCTGCCTCGGGGGACACTTTCGGTCGCCGGTCCAGGCGGGCGCCTGCAGGCGTTGTGATCCCTCCTGCGAGTGGTGCTCCGACGTGGACAGCTGCCTGGCGTGCTGGCATGGGCTGGTCTTCCTCGATACCAATCCCATGGTGGCCTCCCTTTGCGGGAGCACCTGCGCGCCGGGCGAGTATGTCGGCACGG